TTCCAGAGGATGGTATTTACGCAATTCCATGTTGAAATACAGATCTTCCAATCCGACAATGCAAAAGAATAYTTCCATGGTGAGCTCAATGAGTTCTTTGCCTCCCACGGATCTATTCATAGGAGCTCATGCGCCAGAACACCACAACAAAATGGTGTTCTAGAAAGAAAAAACAGACACCTCCTGAAGGTAGCTCGCGGGATGATGTTACACATGAATGTGTTCCAAAAAAGTTTTGGATGGATGCTATACTTGCAGCTGCTTATGTCATCAATYGCATGCCCTCTAAAGTGCTGAACTACATGGCCCCTCATCAGTTGTTGTTCCCTCAGTCCCCTTTATTTTCCATTCCCATGAGAGTTTTTGGTTGTCGTGCCTTTGTCCATGATTTGTCTCCATCTCGAGGTAAGTTAGACCCTCGGTCCATTCCTTGTATCTTTCTGGGGTATCCCTCCTCTCAAAAAGGGTATCAGTGCTTTGATTCCGTTTGTCATAAGTCTTTTGTGTCTATGGATGTGTCCTTTGAGTTTGAGCTATTCTTCCCTATTTCTCCTTAGGGGGAGAGTAGTAGTGTGGAAGGGGAGAAGCAGGTTCAGGTCCGCCAAGTCTCTTTTCCTTTTATTCCGGACCTTGCTCCCTTTCGTGTCTTCCAATGTACACATTGTAGAGATCAGCAATGTGATAGAGATGTGGAGCAACCAAACATTGAGCAACCGACCTCGTTAGACTCCAAGGAGGTAAGTCCAATCTTTGTTGCACCTATTGATACCCCTACTCCTACTGTGGATGACCTTGACATTCCTATTACTCAAAGAAAGGGAGTCAGGTCATGCAGTACCAAACTCCCCATTACCCAGTTTGTCTCCTATGATCACATTTTCCCCTCATACCGAGCCTTTCTATCCGCAGTTGATTGCATCCCTGTTCCCATAAATGTTGTAGAAGCCTTAAAATGCCCTGAATGGACAGATGCCATGAAGGAGGAGATTAATGTTCTTCATAAAAATCAAACTTGGGAATTGGTGGGTCTTCCAAAGGGGAAAGACCCCGTGGGGTGTAAGTGGGTGTTTATAGTTAAACACAAGGCAGACGGAACAGTTGAAAGGTACAAGGCAAGATTAGTAACCAAAGGGTACACTCAAGTGTACGGGGTTGACTATGATGAGACTTTTGCTCCAGTAGCTAAGATGAATTCAATTAGGGTTCTCCTGTCATTAACTGCTAGACCTGTTCATGGGCCGGGCCCGGCCTGCCCAACGGGCCTATAACTTGGGCCCGAGCCTGGCCCTGATAAAACAATTTTTCCTATTCAAATTAGAATTAAAAATTCAGATAGTTTTTTTTTCCTATTTAAATGAACAATGGGCCTACAAGATGGTTTTTTCCCCCTTTTATATTTTAAAACACAGTTTTACATTCTTAAATCAAAAAATTTATTCAAATGGACATAATCACATTACTCACTTTAAGTCTAATATTAGGTTGGGCCGGGCCGGTCTATTTTCACAAAACCCGAGCCCGGCTCGAATTTATTGCGGGCCGGGCTTTTTGGCCCGTATTTAAGCCCGTGGGCCTATAGCCATGTTCAAGCCCACCCGGGGGCCGGGCCGGGCCAGGCCGGCCCGTCGGGCCACCCGACCCATGAACAGGTCTATTAGCTGCTAACTTTGACTGGGAATTGCATCAACTGGACATAAAGAATGCTTTTTTGAATGGTGACTTAGCGGAGGAAGTATACATGGTTCAACCCCCTAGATTATGTGCCAAGGGAAGTGAAAATAAGGTGTGCAAGCTGAGAAAGTCTCTTTATGGTTTAAAACAATCTCCCAGAGTTTGGTTCAGTAAATTTCACATGGCAGTTCAGCAGGTGGGCTTCAAACAATGTTAGTTTGATCATACACTCTTTGTGAAGAGATGTCAGGAACAGGTTGCTGTATTGATAGTGTATGTGGATGATATCATCATTGCAGGAAATTAGAGTTCAGAAATACAAAAATTGAAACAATTCCTTGCATCTAAATTTGAAGTGAAAGATTTAGGTCCCCTGAAGTATTTCCTTGGAATTGAAGTT